TGTGGTTCTCATTTGTAGTACAGGAGCGTTGTGTGTCTGCAAATGAGTATATATTTTTTACAATTTTCTGAAATTTTAATGCTTATCAGGTTATGACTCAATGCAGTTTGAGGAAAGATGTAGAGGGGTTTTTTTGGAAGCAGTTTTTTTGCCAAGCTAAAAAAAAATACATTTTCATAGAATTATAGTATCATAGAATAGTTAGGGTTGGAAAGGACCTTAAGGTCCTTAAGGTCATCTAGTTCCAACCCCCCTGCCATGGACAGGGGAGCCTCAGAGTAGACCATGTTACTCAGGACTCTGTCCAACGTGGCCTTCAACACTGCCAGGGATGGAGCTGGAAGGGCAATACTTTATAAGCTGAAACATTGTTTTTACAATTTTATTTGCGTTTTGCAACAAATTATGGTGTGCTGATAGGCTTGTTCAATGTTAGTACATTCAAACTGTACTTTGTATTAATGGGAATCAGAGATAATTTATATTGAGATTTGAGATTTGTTTTCTAACCCAGACATTTAAACCAGATGGAAAATAGTAGTTGTCTGTAGTTATCTATTATTTCATACTTAATATGTTCCAAATGTGGTTTTTGGTTTAGTATTAATTAATTCAGGGGATAAAATAGATCAGAATTGGAACTAGTCTGTTTTGATGGCTGTGTCATTAGTAGCAAGAAGAGAATAAGACTAAGCAGTGATAACTCTGTGCTGTAGTTGATGTTACCAGAATGTACAACATTAGGCCAGCTGGTAAATACAACATAAAATACTTCTTTCAGAATAGCCCTTTCAACTCTTTACATTAGTCCTTATGCTCTTGTCTATCTTTTCCTCTCATATTGTTGACATACAGTAATGCTATCTCCTAAGTTTGGTTCTGCATTTTGGCAGAGCGTCTGTCTGCCACTCAGCTAACCTGATAAATCGTAGCAAATCGAATAGTGTAATCTATTAATATATTATTAAAATGAGGTTTTAATATCTTGTTTATTAAATAAGGTTAGAAACTAGTGAGTGCCCTGGCATACTTAGTGGAATCTTTAAGATTAAATCTGTGAGTAAATAATTTTGAGAATAGCAGCTTTCTCTAGAAGTGAATTTAAAAATGAAAGTGAATTTGCATTTTAGCTCAAAAGTGGTTAAAGTGGTTAAATTAAAACAATTTGCTTGTAAATTCTTACTCTGTGGACTAGGAAGGTATGTGTAATCTTAAATGTAAGTTTAGTAGCGTAAAATTTACTGGCATTTAGCTTCTAGTGTAATATTGTGATTGTGTTTGACCCTCTGTTAAAAAAGTAATTTTAAAACTGTTAGTCAATAGAGAGGCAATGTCATCTTTCTCTCTGTGGTGAAGAGGGATCATCTAATCGTAACTCTTTGCAATGACTAGCCTTTATTTCCATCTTCACCCTTTGACAAAATACAATAAATTCAACAACTTTTACTTTGCATAATGATTAACTGTTGGTGGTTGTATTTTAGCATTGCAGTGGCAATACAAATTTTAAGCTAAGCTGGAAGAACCTATGTAAATATTTACATATAGCCAGGCAGTTACTCTCAGAACTGTTTCATCACTGTGATCCACTATTTAGTTTTTATTTAACGATATTTAGTCTTTCCTGCTGATAGAAGAGTGGTAGTCTGGATGCTTTTTGTTTATGAAAGATACAGATCTTTCTGTATATGAGCAATCTCACTGATTTATAGGTTTTTTTTCTGGTATGTGTTACATCCTTGTATTGGTCTGTAGGTGTCCCTGTATGTAATTTGGCTCACCTGTAAGCTGGTGGACTGAGTTAGTCCAAGATAAATGCCTTTGCTTCATGTGATACGCATGTATCTTGAGAAATTAATACATTTCAGGAGTTTTGGTGAAAGAGTAAAACAAAAGTTATGTCTGAGATTAGCCTAGTTGCATATCATGGTCACTTACTGCATGCAAGGATTTCAGGGAAAACAGACCAGGGAAAATGCATATTGTTTGAGTATGTGATATAAAACACAGATTTGGAGACCCTAGCTACATCGTCCATGCAGGGCAGATTCCTGAGTGGGCCTTGGCATGTAGTATATACTAATGCACAGGTAAGGTAGTTTTAGGACTGAATTAGCACATGAGCTCTTTGTAAACATATCTCTTTTCAAACATAAAACTGAATTTTACTAAGTCCTCCCTAGCCATTCCTCTCTTCCTGTGCTGCCCAAAAATAAGTGAGGTTAAGCTGGTATCTGATCAAGGTTTATGGAGTAAGGAACTAGGAGAAAAGGGTTTCTTCTACCGTTAGTGGTGAATTGTGCAGTGCATACTTACATGGCAGACTGACTCCCTGCTTACATGAGAGCATGTTTCACTCTGTCAGAGTTATCCTACTAGGTGTCTTCCTTCTGAGGAATATTTTACACACTTTGCATACTTTTATTTATGTATATTACATGGAAAAAATGGCACATTAAATTTACTGAGACTGCAGTCCACCTGTTTAAATAAGAGAACATGATGTTCGTTCTGTGGCAGTCACTATTTTCATTCCTGTCTCTCTCTTGAGTTATTTCAGCTTGAGATTCTCATTTCAGTTATAATTTAAGTGGCTTGTATTGTTGTACCTTAGACTTTCTTTCTGCATTACTGTCTTTGCTTCAGAGCTGTTCCATTTTGCTCCTTTGATTATTGAATAGAATCTGAAATACTTAAAAGACTAACTCAGAATAGTCAAACTACGGTATTTCTGTAAACCAATGAAGAACTGGAATCCGTATATTATAGGCTACAATACATAAAAAGAAAATGATTAAACCGTGTCTCACTTATCATAGATCTTTTTAATAGGAGCAAAATCTGTGCCATTAGTTCCAGACCAGCGTATTTCCCATTCACACTGCTTTAGTGCATAACTTATAAATCTGTCCTCATCATCCTATATTACTTTTTCAAAGGAAGACTAACATCAAGCAAGACAGGATGAATGAAAGTCAATGAAGGTCAACTAGACAATCCAATTATTAAAGATTCTTGGAAGATCAGTACTGTGATCTATGAAAGAATTGGGTGTGATTTCTGTATTTGTTGACAAGAGTCACTTCTGTAGACCTGCAATATATTTTCTGTGGTAATGTGGTTTTAGATTATTCCAGTCAAACTTGTTCCTATAGCACATCTGAATGTCAATTGTTTATATTCTAAAATTCTGTATTCTGTTACTTTGCAGAAGACATATTTATAATACAGGCCTTAAGGAAAATGTGCTATACGGTTACATATTGCATTACAAAGAGCAGTGTTAAGATTGCATAATTGTGTAATACATGCCACTGCTATTTTTCCATGCTTTTTTTTCTTTAGTTACTTACCTTTTATTCTGCAGAACAGGCCATCTCTTGGGAGCATAGAACACTTTGTGTACAAAAGTGTACAATCACTTTTGCACAGTAAAAGAGGTTACTATTTATTGTAACTACTTATAGTAGAAGTCTTGAGCTGACCAGCATGTTTTAGTTTAAATGTGAAAGTTCAAGTATGTGTATAAGCCATCTGTGCTAGACACTTCAGATGATAAAACAGAAGAAAGTTTACTTAAGCAGAAGAATAGTTGTTTTCAGTCTTAGGGACTGACTTGAGCTTTAAATTTCACTTTGTTCCTTTTATTTCAGATATGTCTGAAACTTACCTGCTGGTTTGTTTGTTTTTTTTTTTTTTTGTCCCCTATATGGATATGTCTAATGAAAAATAATGCTTCTACATACAAACCTTGTTTTCTTATGGGATTTTTTTTGAGTCATACATAAATCAGGACAGATTATAGTATTTGGTGACAAATTATATCTGAAGACTAATATGTAAATGCACTAGACTATGCTACACATGTTTATAAATGCATTCAAAACTAGTACATGCTCTTACTGTTCTCCATGCCTACAAAAAACAGAACAAAAATACTCAATATAGATGTTATTTTGTACCCTGCCATCAGATACTTAGCTTACAGGATTTTTTATCAGGTATTTCTATGCAACTTATATTTCTTCTGTGGGAAGCCATTCCTGTGAAATTCTGTGTGTGTGTATATCTATATACTTATATAGAGAAATAATATGTTTTCCTTCCCAACTCATACAATTGCAGGAGAGTGTGGTCCTGTGTTGAGTAGCTAACCAAACAGAATATCAAGTGGCCTTCATTACAGGCCATGTAGGAATCATGTTGCTAAAATATCAATTGCTATGAATGACATAGTAGCTGAAAAAGAAGTAATATATTTCCTAGGTACTGGACAATTGGTGTAGTAAAGAATGTGAAATGACACATAGGAGTTACAAAAGAAGTAATATATTCCCAGGTACTGGACAACTGGTGTAGTAAAGAATGTGAAGTGATAGTACTGATTGAGAAAATTTTTACATTGTTTCCCAATAAAAGTTGAAGTTAGCCTCTGCAGCTGCTGGAGTTTTATTGGCTGACAGAGAAGGACAGGATCTTTTACTGAACTGAGCTTAAAGACAGCAACAATTTCAATGCTCTGCTATTTTGTTTATAAATGAAGATTTAAGAACAGAAATTTCTTAATTTCTTAAGTCTTAAGACTTAAGCTACCACATAATTCAAATTCTGTCTGGTCAGTGATCGGTATAGTGTGAGATTGCAGGATCATAGTATCATATTTTTAGTATTTTAAATGTTTTTATGTAGTTTATGAGGGTGGTGGATAGAGTGATCTCTTGGGTTACTTACAGGATGACAATAATATTTGAATTTGGAGCCATCATTCTTTCACTTCTTCATATTATTTTCCTCCTCTAAGAAGGTGATCTCCTTTTGCCAGAAATTACATTTTCCTTCTTCTTCATGCACATGTATAGATGGGTGTGCATACCTAGTGTTTTCTCTCAAACTCTTGAAATAAATAACAACAGTGATAGTAATAATAAAACTATTAATGAGCAGCTTGCCAGTGTTACAGAGAAATTTCTTAGACTGTGTTAAGTACGTGCTTGTATCAGCTCTTCGACTATTTGTGTATCTTTTCCACAGGTGACAGATCAGTCAGTGAAAGCTTTTGCTGAGCATTGTCCAGAGCTACAGTATGTTGGTTTCATGGGCTGCTCTGTAACATCGAAAGGAGTCATTCACCTCACCAACGTAAGTATCATTTTCCTTTTTGCTGGTCATTGGTGTGTTTGACTATTGCCAAACCATAGGTATCAACTAGGCTAAGTTTATACTATGATGGATAACACTGTTATAGGCAGAAACATTACAAAATAAATGAACTTTGCACAGTTAACCTGAGTAAAAAGCCTGTCACAAAAACATATTTAAGTGATGAAACTTTTTCGCAGAAATAACAACACTGTTCAGGTTAAAAGTCTTTAAAATGACTCCAGATTGCATTGCAAACAAAACAAATATCTACAATTGGAAGCAGAAAATTCATAGTGCAAAAGATTTAGGCACTTTGTATATATCCAGCTTTGTATTTTAACATAGTGTTACTGATACATTTTATTTTCTTTCCTTTTTCTTTTCTGTAAGAGGACTGATGTGTGAGAGAACTAACTTGAGTAAACGTGCAGGAAATACTGGAAGCATTCAATAAAATTAATGACTTGGGTGAGGTAGACAAACAGCATATTAATTAAAATTCATAACTGAAAGTAAATCCAGGGATCATGCAAACATCACAGAGAAGAGAGGAAAATGCATCAGGAATAGATAAATTAATATTTGTAGCTAAGATTGATTTTTTTAAAAGTTCAAATAGGAAAAGGAAACTTACTACAACTGGTAAAGATGACTGTAGAAATTGGTATTGGTAGAATATGAAAAGTTCTGGTAAACAGAAAAATAAACATAAAAATACAGGTCCTGAGGGAACTGATGGATGAAGTTGCCAGGTGATAATCCATCATATTTGAGAAGTTGTGGCAGTCTGGTGAACTTCCTTCTGTCTGAGGAAGGAGAAATCTAACCCTATTTTTAAAAAGGAAAACAAGGAAGGCCCAGGGAAGTACAGGCTAGTCAGTCTCACCTCTCTGTCCCTGGCAAGATCAGGGAGCAGGTCCTCCTGGATACTATGCTAGGGTGCATGGACAATAAGGGAGTGATTGGTGACAGCCAGCATGGGTTCGCTAAGAGCGAGTCATGCCTGAAAAATTTGATGGCCTTCTATGATGGGGTTATAGTATTGGTGCATTAGGGAAGAGCAACTGGTGTAATTGATCAGAACTTAATGCAAAATATTTGGCACTGTTCCATACAACATGCTTGTCTCTAAATGGGAGAGGCATGGATCTGACATACGGGCCACTTGATGGATAAGGCATCAGCTGGATGGTCACACTTAAAAGAGTTGTGATCAACAGCTTGAGTCCAAGTGGAAATCAGTGTCAAATGGTGTTTCTTAAGGGTCAGTATTGGAGCTGATGCTGTTCATCATATTTGTTGGTGACATGGATAGGGGGATTGATGCACCCTCAGCAAATTTGCTGGTAACACCAAGCTGTGTGGTGTGTTTGATATGCTGGAGGGAAGGGATGCCATCCACAAGGACCTTGACATGCTTGAGAGGTGAGCCAGTGCCAAACTCCTGAAGTTCAACAAGGCCAAGTTGCAAGGTCCTGCATCTGGGTCAGGGCAATCCCAGCACAAATACAGGCTTGGTGGACAATGAATTCAGAGCAACCATGAGGAGGACTTGGGTGTCTTGGTTGATGAGAAGCTAAACATGAGTGTGCATATGCAGCCTAGAAAGGCAATTGTACCCTGGGCTGCATCAAAAGATGAACAACCAGCAGATTGAGGGAGGTGATCCTGCCCCTCTGCTCTGCCCTTGTGGGATCCAGCTGGACAGTGTGTGCAGTTCTGGGGCCTTCAACACAAGAAAGGAGGTGGACCTGTTGGAGTGAGTCCAGAGGAGACCATGAAGATGATCAGAGAGCTGGAGCACCTCTCCTGTGAAGGAAGACAGGTTGAGGTAAGGCTTGTTCAGCCTGGAGAAGAGAAGGCTCTGGGGAGACCTTATAGAGCAGCTTCCAGTGTCTACAAGGGGCCTACAAGAAATCTGGAAAGGGACTTTTTACAAGTCCTTGTAGTGACAGGACAAGGGGGATGGCTTTAAACTGACAGAGGGGAGAGTTAGATTAGACATGATGAAGAAATTCTTTAGTATAAGGGTGGTGAGGCCCTGGCACAGGTTGCCCAGAGAAGCTGTTGCTGCCCCATCCCTGTCAGTGTTCACAGCTCGGTTGGACTGGGCTTGGAGCAACCTGGTCTAGTGGAAGGTTGTCTGTGGCAGGGGCCTGTAAGTAAATAATCTGTAAGGTCCCTTCCAACCAGAATCATTCTGTGGTACAATGAAGAATTTTTTATGATGAGGGTGGTTGGAACAGGTCACCAGGAGGTTGGTAGATGTCCCATCCCTTCAAACATTCAAGCTCAGGCTGGACGGGACTCTCAACAACCTGATGTTGAAAATCTCCATGCTTATTGTAGGGGGCTTGCACTATGTGACCTTTAAAAGTCCCTTCCAACCCAAACCATTCCATGATTCTATGATAGAATGTCTTCTGTTAAAGTTTGCTACAGACTCTTTTACATATGAGCGACTTTCTGTGCACTACAAGATGGTATATTTTTATTTATTTGTTGTCACTTTAGGCTGAGGTATATATAGAAACAAGTGGGATGATACGATTTATTGAGGGGAAAAAGAGTAGGAGATTTTTCCCGGTCAGACAGTGACTGGGAAGTTGTATTGGAATTTAGGCTTCTTTACTCTGAAGCTGTTGACGAATGATACCTGGTTAATCTTGCCAGAGTGACTTCGGTAAGTATTGTTTCCTCCACCTTTCTTCTCTGCCAGGTGTTACTTACTTGAAGTACAGCAGGCACTGGTAACAAAAGCTCTGAATTGCACTGAAGCAGCTGACATAGACACACGTTCCATTTCTACAGTTCTTAGGAGGAAATAAGATCCAGCAGGAAGTTAAATATCTAGGGAGTAGTTAACACAATCTTAAACTGCTGCATCTGCCTTTTCCAGAATTCGTCCTTTTTTTTTTTTTTTTTTAGTTCTAACCACTGTATATTTGTATGGCCAGTTTTGTATTGAGTTCTCAACTAGTACTTCATAAGTGCTTAGTAATAATTCCAGTCCCATGTTCTTAGAGAACATGGAATCTGTTCTTTGCTATACATGGCCTGTGAGAGGGTCTTACAAGCAGAGCTACCTCCTTCCTGTCTGCTTCCTGGGCGCAAACTGGAGGCAACAGCACACGAGAAGTTGTGAAGTTGCTTTGAGGCTGATGGATGTATAAAAGTTAAGTATTATTACTATCTTTTTCCCCTAGTAATGTAAGCTCTCTTTAAAGCACTGGCACTTGAAAATTCTGATTTGCGGCACTGCTGAAACACAGAGATTTTTAATAGCTAAATGTGGGTTATGTAGCGAAAATGTTGTGAATTATAGAAAAAGGAGAAACGTTCAGGACATACTTTCATTATTTTTCTACTGGTAATAGTGACATTCAAAAAAATTTGCTTCTTGAGCAAAACCATGTTATCACACTAGTACCTTTTTACCTTAAAGTTGTTGTAAACTACGAAAAATGCACCTGATGCAAATAATCATTACTGGGTAAGATGAGAGGCACTGCTGATATATACACTGGGAGAGAGAAAGGCAAAGATGGAGTGTGTGTGTGCAATTCACAGTTAAACTCCCAGTTGAAACCAATGGTTTGTTCTCCTGACCTAGAATGTTTTATTTTGCTTTGCAGCTGTAATGTGTCAAACAGTGTTGCAAAAGATCTGAATGGTCTGTTCTGTGACGTTAGAAAAATTACACCAACATTTATCAACTTTGTTTCCGTGGAAGAGGGAAGAACAGGTCGTGGATATAGTGTTGTAGTTTTTACCTTCTGTTTTCATTACATCCGCAGTTACTGTTTCGTTTCATCTTTTTTTCTGACTTGCTTTATTATTTACTTGCCTTTAATTTTTTTAGTTTTCTCCCTTCGTTCCCTTTTTACATCCTTGTCTCTCAAGAACTTAGCTGTTCATTTTTTCTTTTCACTTTCTTCTTTTCCTGTAAGTGTGAAAATAGATGTAAATGTGCAAACTAATTACGTTGAAGACAGAATAACCAGATGAGTAATTTTTCTTCATTAACTAAGTGTGAGAAAGAAACTTTATATGATAACCAATGAAGTAGTCATTTTTTCATTTTATACCTTTGGCCACAAAACCGGTGGTATTCTCTTCCCCTCTTGTGGTAGTTGTCTCTCAACAGTTTAATTGTTGCACTTGTAACAGAATTTTATCAGCTGGTATTAGCAAATTTCAACTTACAGACAAGTTTTATTTCCAAACCACTTCTTTAACTTCTTCCTCTGGGTTGTCAGATAAAAGCAAGACTAATTGCTTTGTAGCAGTATATGTAAGCAGTAGCTTCTACACCGTGTCTTATGGTGTAGGACTGTCTGGTAAAGTTTATGACAGGCATCTTTATCTAAATATCTGTGAATCCTTGGCCATCATCTTGATAGAAGAAGTTCTAATTTATTCTTCTAATCAGTTGTGCATGAAGACAATTTATCTAAGAATTATTCTTTTTGGAACAATGTGATCTTTACTCTTTGTTTATCTCATAATTGTTACCGTACAGACATGTCCAACCTAACTCAGTCATGCCTGTGTCTCGGTAGCTAGTATGAAGTTGATAAAAATTCTGATGTAGAGAGCAAGTATTTACGACTCGTTCAGTGCAGGCATTATCAGCTTGACAGATATATTATGATAATCTACATATGACAAGGTTGATTTCATAAGAGCCTTTCCTAAAGGTACTGTATGGTCCTTTTCTTTAGTAACTGCTTTGTTTTGACACATAGTGCTCTGCTTTATGCTTTTTTTTAGTGGTAATATTTTAGCATACCTTCTGATCTTAAAGTTATCATGCTTCCTAACTAGGAAAATGATTGCTCTCCTTTGACAAGATCTAGAAAAAACAGTTTTTTAATCAATTTATGTAATGAACTATATTTCATAAGCTGGCATGTGATTTATTTGAGTCTGTCTGAATTTAATAAGATGTCCTTTTAAGTGATAGTCTTCCAATCAACGGAAAAAGCCGTTAAGGA